TTGTTTAGCAGGCCCAGCCAGGTTCAAATCCGCCAGGCCCAGTGTATGTGGCTGGTGCCTATTAACCACTGAGGCTACAGGCACTGAGCCTGGCCAGGGGGTCTTTTTATTTGATGTATTTCTGATTTACTTTTTTTCTTAAACACTATGAATGCATTAAGTAAACTTTTGAAAAATGAATAATGTATCTCTTGAAAGACTTTTTTAAAAAGGACTTAAAAGCTGCTTGCAACCAGGCCCTGCTCACAGAAACAGACACTCAAAGGTTTGTAAAGCCTTGTCTCATGTGAGACTCCAAATTTACAAGTATAAGAGTTAAAGGAAAAAAATTAGGAACTGAAAAAAGAGCTGGTTTAAGATGCCCAATCCCAATGAAGATCTTATTTTTCCAATACTGACTGCTTTTCCTCCCAGGAAACCCTCCCCCCTGCCCTGGACTGGTGGAAAGGCAGAGGGATACAAGGGCTCACCTGGTTCTGAGTCAGAATTGCCTGCAGATGACTCGCAGAAGGTTGATGGCATAAAGACATTGTTTTTTGATACTGTCACCAGGGAGGTGCAGGCAGGGGAGGGAACAAGAGGAAAAACAGTGTGAGTAGGCAAGGTGGACAAGCAGGGTTGAGTCTCAAGCCCCAGCTCAGAAGGGGACAGCATTCCCTGAATAAGGCATCAACCTTTCCTGATAAAGCAAACCCAAGGCTCAGCAAAAATAGTGGTCTCCAACCCAATGGCCTTCATCTGTCTCGTGGAAAGTCTGGGGGCTGCCTGTCTTGTCTTGACACTCCGGGGGGGTGGCACACCAGCAGGGCAGGAGAGGGCCCTGGATGCTCCATACTGCACAGAAGGCTGCCTCTCTCCCACAGATCTTACTTTATGATAGCAACTGCTCCCTACGTTAAAGGCTGGCAAAGGAAGCGGACCTCAGAGGTGAAGAACTAAGCCTGAGCACAGGGAGGACAGAGTGAAAAACACTTTTGGTGCCCCTTACACCTCACATTTCCCTGACAGCTAAGAGCTGAGTATCTCCTAGGAGCCACTGCACTAGAGAGAGGCAATTTCAAGCAGGCCAGGGGGAAAACTGATTGGCAGCCCTTTGTCCCTTTAGCTCTGGCCACAACACAAAAGGCTACCTCTCCTCTCTGTGGGGGCTTTGAATGTATCAAGTAAGCAAGTGGTGAGTGGAGAAGAATGAAATCAACAACCAGGAAGTGGGAGTTCCCCTTTCTGTCCATGTGTGCAGAGGTCCTTAAGAAAAGGATGTCAAGTGCAGCCTGGATTGCAAACAATGCAGACAGTTCTTTAGCATCTGGTCAGCAGGTAACAGTGTAACCTATAGGTAAAACTAACACAGTCACAAAAAAGGATGTGGCCACGTCCCAAATCAACATTAAGGGAAATGGGCATGAAATCACGTGTGTAAAAGAGATTAACTGTGAAAGGACACTGCCTTTCTACATTCCTGTCATGTCTGCATGACTTTTATAAACAGACACAACTTTCAAGAGTGTTTTTTCCCTTACAGCAATATCCTGAAGGTTCCCAACTGTAAAATTATTTCTGTGAACTTTCTAGGGATGAATTTCAGGCTGGTAACCAGAGAAGCTCTCTAATGGCATGGTATCACCAATCTGGCACTAGAAAGCTGAGACAGAGAACACAAGACAATTTGGAGTGGGGAAGTCAGGATGCGGATGGAAGGTATTCATCCTCCAATCAGCAGGGGCATTCCCCAGTTGGTGCCTGCAGCTAAGAAGCTCCAACGGCTCTCTCTGCCCTGGGAACCTGCCTCTTTCTTATACTAGCCTTCATATGTCCCCACCTGCCTTGACCTCCGTGCCTGTGCTCAGGCCACGCCCCATGTCCAGGACCTCCAACTTTTGTGTCCACCCCTTCCACAGTCCTAGTCCTAGTATGGCTCACCCTGACAAGCCTCACCAAGCTTCTGGGAGCTCATGGCATCACATCAGGTCTCTGCTGGGACCTCATGACTTGTTAGTTACTGGGTATATGGGCATGTCTGGGCTATCCCTGGGCTGCCAATGCTGGGTAGGCCCTGTTCAGAACACCTTACCCCAATACCTTTAGTCTTTGGTCAGTAGCCCTGCAAAGCAGAGAGGTTACTAACAGTCAGAGACCCCTACAGGGCTCCCAACAGTGAATCCTTCCCCTCCATTTCAGAGGGATGATTTCACAGTCTTCCTTAGGCAGCCAAGTCTCACCACCCTATTAAGTGATTCCAGAGAGGGGACATCTGTTGCTACATTTTGGGTAAGCTCTAATCTCACTCCTGATGGAGACCAAGCCTGGGTTTGATTGTAAGTGATCTGAGAAGGAGACAGAGGACTGAGGAACGGCACTGGAAGGGAAGCAGTAGGGTTATGAGCACAAACGCTTTCCGTCATTCATCAAGTCTGCATTACCTGACTGTGGTGGGGGGAACTGTGTTAAAGATGATGTTCTTTCTCTCTTGACAGGAGGGCAGTAATTTCCATCTTCTCGGTCAGAATCTACAGAAAAGAATGAGAATAGGAGGAGAAAATCAGGTTACTTCTGTTTTTATAACTGGTTAAGATGGTCAAGCATGTTAGATATTTCTTTACCTTCTCCACCTTCTGGACTGGAGCCTCCGGCTGATCTCTGAAAAAAGAGTACACATCAGGGTGGTAAGAAAGCACTGCACTAACTACAAGCCAACAGTTCTCAGCTCCATAACCAATGGAACCTGACACACAATGATACTGAAGGCTAACTCCCCAAGCTCAGCCACCCACACTATAGAATCTCAACCTACGGCTCAAAAATTATCTGTGATGAACCCCTGAATCTGGCTTACCAAAAAACCATGTGCCAAGGAGAGCATGTATAACAAAAGGATCAGTTGCTGTTTCTCCACAGGTTATAACTACCTGGCCTGCCTCCCCCAAACTCAAACACAGTGAAACTTTATCTGGCCACAGTTCACTTTGCCAAGAGCTGAAAAGTGACCCTCCCCATTATGTTATGAAGAGCTGCAGGCTTGTTAAGTATAACACCAGATCAGAGTGGTTTCTGAGCTTTGCCTTGGAACATTCTATGGTGCAGATCCCTGTCTCAAAGTGGGATATTATTTACAGAGGAAGTAAGAGTTTTGATGCTTTGGACCAAAGCCCCTTGCCAAGTGTCCAGAGCATAACTATCAAAGACAAGAGCTCTATAGACAACAGAACAATCACAAGCTAAGAGAGAAGGGAACTGAAGAATTTCCGACTTTATCAAACTTTAGTTTTTAGAATGTGAACAATTAAGACAAAAAATGAATAGTGTTAATCTTCTCTCCTAATACACAATCCCTCATGTATGTTCTGTCTTGAACACTGTAGCCAAAAGCAAGCTGACAGTGAGTGCCACTCCTCCTGGCATACTCTGCTTAAGAGTAAGCAGAAGAACTGGCTCAGTGCCTGTAGCTCAACCGGCTAAGGCGCCAGCCATGTACACCTAAGGTGGAGGGTTCGAATCCCCAGCCCGGACCCGCCAAACAACGATGGCTGCAACCAAAAAATAGCCAGGCGTTGTGGCGGGCGCCTGTGGTCCCAGCTGCTTGGGAGGCGGAGGCAGGAGACTCGCTTGAGCCCAGGAGTTGGAGGTTGCTGTGAGCTGTAATGCCACGGCACTCTACCCAGGGGGACAGCTTGAGGCTCTGTCTAAAAAAAAAAAAAAAAGAGTAAGCAGAAGAGCCAATTTTTCTTAATTTTCTGAAAAGCTCCTTGGAGGTCAAGTTTAGCCAAATCAGTGCTGCCCACCTCAGCAAGCTGTTAGGGATTAAGGCGAAGAGCTTTGCAAACTGCAGAGTGGTATATAAAAGTATAACTGTAATAAACAAAACTTAAGATTATGGGAGCCAGGAAGAGACCCTCCTCAAGGAAAAAATGGCACATTTTTCCATAAAGGGCCAGACAGTCAATACTTTTGGCTTTGCAGGCCACATTTGGTCTCTGTCATATTATTCTTCTTTGTTTTTATTTTTATAATCCTTTAAAATTATAAACATGATCTTAGGTTACAGGCCCAGGGCCAGAGTTGGTGGCAGTGAGAGTCCAGAGATGGTAGGAGGTTTCCTCAAAGTCACATAGCTAATTCACAACAGTAAGAAAAGAAAGTCCTAACCCAGACTTTCTCCTCCCTGGTGAGAGCTGACCACTCAGGTTTGCATTAGAAAAGCAAGCTTGGGTTTCTTGCTTGAGGTCTGTGTTCTTAGAGTTCTTTGGAAATGGTTTGGAACAGTGGTTCTCAACTTCCCTAATACAGTGATATATTTTCATTGTTACAAAGGGGTTGTAACTCACAGGTTGAGAACCGCTGGTCTGGAGGATGTGTCTGTGAAATGAGGGCTAGATAACACCATCCTCACTGTATGTCTGGGCAACTGGGAGGCTCAGATGAGACTATAACCAAAGTGCTCAGGAAGTAAAACCCTTCTAACACAACAAGGAGTTCTATTAATCACTGGGGCAACAGTGAAAATACTAACTCCAAAATGGAACAAAATACTGGTATCAAGTATGCTGGTCCTAGCGCCAGCACAAAACAGCAGCCAGGATATGCATGTGGAACACCAAGGCTGCTCTGCCCTCACTACCTCTTGAAGACTTGTGGAATTTAGTCAGTTTACCTGGCTCTGCCGCTTCCTAAGTATGAACCTTAACTCGCTCAGGCTCTGGTTTCCTCACTTAGAAAAAGAGGGTGCTGCGGTGTCTCCCTCAAAGGGAGGGTTTGGGGCAGTGACCCAGAACAGGTCTCATGCTCAGCCCAGTGAAAAAGTACAAAGATCAGTTCCTGTCATTATTTTAATGTCCATGACTCACACCTGGATGTAGCCAAACTAGAACCCCTTAGGCCAGGGGTTCTCAACCTGTGGGTTGTGACCCCTTTTTAACAATGAAAATACATTCTGGCTTTAGGAAGGTTGAGAACTACTGTCTTAGGCTGTGTTGGAGTCAGGAGAGAATGGGAGCTAGGGATGTGAGGGTTCAGAAGTGCTTCCATGCCCAGGCCTAACAGCTGGGGCCGAGACGCACTCAGACAGTGCTTCCATTCCATAGGTGCCAAAGCCTGAAAGTTGTATCTGGTAACACGGAGCTGTCTCTCGCTTGTCATCAGCCTCCCCATATCATCCCTTTCCCCAGGGGCCATCAGTGGGGTCCAGACAGCAAAGGTGAGAGTCTAAGTGGGGTGCCTACTGCCTAGGCCAGCTCCAGCAGCTCTAACACAAGACACATCTTCCTCAGTGACTCACGCCCTTGTGAATGCTACAGGCTAGTTATGACCACCAAATTCTCTGTGTAGGTCCCTATCCAAAGTGGGTGCCCCAGCCTCAAGCATCCTCCTGCCCACTCCTGCCAGTGGGCCCCACACATCCCCATACCACACCCCATCCTTGCACAGTAGCCTCCTGGGTCTTGGGGGATCTATTCCTTCCTGAATGACCTTTGGGACCTGGACATGTTGTTTCCTTTGGGCTCTATGAACAACCTGCTCTCTCACCAGATGACAGCCTCCTTCCCCTTCAGATGAGAATGAATCTCTCAGTCATGTGATCCACTGTTCCTCATACTTTTCCTTCCCGGCTTTTACCGTGATCCTAGGATTTGGGTCAGGGTTCCGCACTAGACTTCAAGTCCTAAGAAGGACTTGGTCCTCATAGTATTTCACTTAGCATTTGCTCAAGGAAAAAAATATACCTCTAAGGCACTCTTTAGGCCATAGAGAGCAGTGAGGGCTCCTGCTCTGGCCTTATGGTGAGAGCTATCCATAGTGATGCCCATGTCTGGGCCAGTGGTGCTGACAGCTGACAGTCCCTGGCTTGCTCATAGTTCTTCAGCCCCTGCTCAGGACACCCCCCTCCTCTGTTGCAATCTTAAGAGGTTTGGACTTCTAATTCTCTTTGGTCTGCTAGGTATCTAGGTTAATTCCTACATGCACAAATTTCCTATTTTTCTTTCAGATTTCTAATTTCATTCCATTGTGGTCAGAACATAACTCTGTATGATTTCAATCTTTTTAAAGTTATCAAGATGTGTGCTTTGTGGCCTTGGAAAATGGTCCACCCTCCAGAATGTTCTGTGTGCACATGAGCACAACATGCCCCCTGCCGCTTCTGGGCAGGGTGTTCTATAGATGCCTGTTAGGTCTAGTTGATTTTTAGCATTCAAGTCCTCTACTTCCAATGTTCTGTCTGGATGCTTTACTGATTACTGAGGGTGGGGAACACATCTGGAACTGAGCCAAGTCTCTGATCAGTCAGTCCCCCAGCAGGGTTCCTTCCCACCTCCCTGCTCCTCCCATTCACACAGTAACTCCAGACCCCCAGGGCTCACTGCTTCCTTTACTGCCCCTTCCAGTTCTCTGAACATGCTGTGTTCCTCCCACAACTCCAGGTACTTTCCCTTGGCATGCTGTCCTTCAGGGCCTGCTCACTGTGACCACTCCCTTAGGTAAACAGGCACTCACCCTGTACTGACCTCAGCCCCTCTTGGGCCCTCTTTCTACCCTGCTTTGTTCTGTCAGGGTCTTTCTGGTGTGTCTCCTGCTGCAACACAGCTCATAAACCAATACTCGGATACCATGCACAAAAGGCGCTCAGTGAGGACTTGCTGTGTGGATGGGGCCGACGTCCTCCACTATGTCCTCTTCAGATACTATAGCATGAGAGGGGGCCTGGCCAGACAAGATGCAGCTGTTCTTCAACACCTGGCCTCAAGATACCCTCAAATCCAAGCCCCAAATTGCTTTTACAAACTCTCCTGCAGGAAAGTGGTGGGCCTCTCAGTCTTGGAAAGGCTTGGAAGCCAGGGCCAGGGCAGCACAATATAGGAAGATCCCTACACTGAGCGAACCTTCCAGATGCTGCTAGAACCACCAGTTGGGTCCAAAACTGCCAAGTCAGAAGCAAGGCGCAAACTGCTGCCAGTAACTCCCCTTACTAAGAACCAGAAGAAGGAAAAGCAGGAAGAGAGAATGTGTGCCTGCGACAACGCTGGCTCTTCTAAAAATCCTCACCAGCTCCCACAGGAGGTGCCGCTGCCCTGTGCCCATGTCAGATTCTCCCTTCCATGACTTGCTGGGACACAGGGCCTTTCCTCTCAGCAGAACAGGAGTTTGCTGTCTGGCTGACTCATGCTGTCTTCCTCAAAGCAGAAAGAGGTCTATGCTACAAGGGTACTACTCCAAGCCACCCTTCAAGGCCAAGACCAGTTCCACTAACATCTTCCATATCGTTGAAACATGGCAGCACAGTGGCTCAACCTGTTTGGTGTCAAGGCAGTCTGGGGGCCACCCTTCACTCTAACCAATGGAGTAGGTTCTGAGAGGTCAGTGTAGAATAGGCCTGGGATACATGTGGGGTCAGATCCCAGAGGTCTATGGCCCAGAGGCTCAAGAGCCGCCACAATAGGGACTCATGCAGAAACAGGGTAGAAGGGCCCCATTTCTTCCTCCTCTGCTTTTACCCAAACTGGACTTCACCACAGCAAAGTCAGGACTTCAAAAGGACATGTAAGGAATGCTAGGTCAGCAGCATTTGGAACACCAGGATGAAAAACATTCCAAATTAATAAACAAGGGAGCTGGAGAGAAAGAAGACCAACGAGCACCCCTCAACTTCTCTCTGGCATCAGGACAGCACAAATGAATGAAGCAGTCTAAAAAGAAGTGAAGAGCCCTCCTGCAGTGCCCAGGCTGCAAGCTGGTAAGGCTCAAGCAACGACAGCTGCAGCTCGTTGTGCTGCTGGATGGTGCCCTCACCCCACCAGCTAGGTAGAGGCAGGAGTTACAGCCAGCTCTCCTCCTAGGACACCAGACACAGGAATCCCTGTCACCAACTGCAACCCAACCCTGAATGGGAATGTAAAGGGGGGAGGCATCTATGAAGACAAAACAGTAAAAGTCACGATTGTTATATTTATTAAGAACTGCCCCGGCTCGGCGCCTGTGGCTCAACCGGCTAAGGCGCCAGCCACGT